TTATTATTATTATTATTATTATTATTATTATTATTATTATTATTATTCCAAAGTGTCTCCCAGGATATTTTCTCAATATTCTGTTTCATCTGTCCTTAGATTCATCTTTTCTGAGAAACTTTTGGCTCATCATACCTGATTGTAACCAAGCCAAAGCACATGTACCTGAAATAAAACTGCCATGTTCATAGAGTTTATCAGCCGTATATCACCTTTGCAGCTGCGAAGTCAAAACACATTTTTACTTCTTCTTTTCTTTTTTAAAGCAAAGAGGAAATCCCAGATTTCTCTATCAGTATTTCTCAACCTTGGCCGTTTTAAGATATGTGGACTTGCACTCCCAGAATTCCCCAGCTAACAAACCGAGTTGAAGTCCACACACCGTAAAGTGGCTAAGGTTCAGAAACATTGTTCTGGATTCTGAAAAGAGCTCTCGCATTAAGGCCGCTGATAAAAAAAAGGATCACAGGGTGGTACAAAGGAAAAAAAAAATCCCTTTATAATATCTTTAACCTGTGGAAATTTTCTCTAACTTGGCACTTTCAAGTGGCTTTTGATGACAATTGGCAATCATCTGTGCAGCTTGCAACTACAATTGGGAATTTGCATGGCTTAGCAATGTAAGTTCAGTGATTTACGACCTTTTCACCATGTTGTTAAACAAATCACTTCAATTATCAAGTGAATCGTGCAATCATTAAGTGAATCATAGGCTTTCCCTATGACTGTTGTGGTTAGCTGACAGCAGGTGTGGATGGCGGAGGAGAGGGAGGACTCAGGTGAGGGGCCAGGACCATTAGGGAGTTGACTGCTGCCTTCAGAGATTGTGGGGGCTGGCAGCTGTGATGAGGAAGTTCCCGAGGAGCTTGTGCCAAGTGCGCGTATGTGCAGGATTGCTCACAGGAAAGAGCAGCTACAACAGCATGGGTGACTCAGGAGTAAGGCTGCAAGGTAATGGCCTCTCCTTCAAGAAGATCAAAGCCAGCTGTGAAACAAATGTACTTTGCAGAAGGCAAAGACGTTTTGAAACCCCAGCCTCATGGACATTCCAGTATCCTGAGTTCGTATTTGAAGATTCTTGTATTGCAAATTATTTCTTGTCTGTTATCTTTTGGCAGTTTCACACAGTTTGGCAAGGCTTGTGCTTATCACAGGTGATTATTTTGTAAAAGCATTACAAGGTTTCTGTTCCTTTTGAATTGTGTTTGATTTGTTGGAAAAGGTCGTGGGTCAGAACAATGACCTTGCTTCCAGAAGCTGGCAAATGGCAATTATATGATCCTGGGATCACATGACCCCAGCTGCAATTGTCCTAAATACATTCCTGTTACTAAGTGCCCGAATTTTGATCCTGGGACCGTGAAGCAATGCTGCAACGGGTGTAAGTGCGAGGACCTGTTATAAGTCACTGTTTTCAATGCCATTGTAACTTCAAAGGGCAGCTGAGCGGATGCCTGTGGGTTGAGGACTATCTGTCACTTCTATGATCTGTCCATGGTACTTTTCTCCAGCCTGCATAGCTGTAGTTCAGGCGCACTGCATGGCAGCCAGCCTCTGAATGGCGGAAAATTACTGCCTACAAATTGAGATGGTTTTAAAAGGGGAACAAGACAAATACATGAACTGCAGGGCTACAAATTGATAACACAACAACAATTCTCTGCCTTTTCAATCACTTGCTTCCCTGGGCTACTTCGTATGCAAAGTACATAGGTTCCCACCACATTATACTTCCCATAACACTGTCAAACTATTTAGCAAGACTGTATTGCTATTCTTCTTCTCATCCTTCCTATTATCTGTCTCCTTCTACTTATGATTATAACCTTGTTGTTTGTATTTTTAAAATTCATATTGTTTTATTTAGTTTCCTAATATGATTTTGATAGCTTAGTTAGTATCCTATGACAATCATTAAGGGTTGTATTTTACGATTCTTGATGAATGTATTTTTAATGCACATTGAGAGTTTATGCACTGAAGACAAATTCCTTGTGTGTCCAATCACACTTGGCCAATAAAGAATTCTTTAACACCCCTCAGGCTACAAGTTTGCTTCTTTAGAATCCACCTATTTCATCCTAACTTGTGCATTTGAAAATACCACCCCCCCCATACACACACACACACTCCCAATATTTGCATCATTCTGCAAACTCCATAGAACAGGGGTCTACAACCTTGGCCACTTTAAGCCTGGCGGACTTCAACTCCCAGAATTCTGGGAGTTGAAGTCCTCCAGGCCAAAAGTGGCCACGGTTGGAGACCCCTGCCATAGAAAACCATGGCTCATTCTTTCAAGCAAACCAGCATCAGGCTGGGGCTCTGGGGGAATTATATATAACAGAATAACAAAGTTGGAAGGGACCCTGGATGTCTTCTAGTCCAACCCTCTACTCAACAGGGGGACCTTATACCATTTCAGGCAAGTTATTGTCCAGCCTCTTCTTAAAAACCTCCCGTGTTGGAGCACCCACAATATCTGGAGTCAAGCTGTTCCACTGGTTAATAATTGTCCTCACTGTTAGGAAATTTCTCCTTAGTTCTACATTGCTTCTCTCCTTGATTAGTTTCAATCCATTGTATGGTGAAAGCCTGCATGAACTTCACACTGGGGGCAGGGGAGGAGAGGGGGGGGCTGCAAAATACGATACAAACGTCCTTCCTGCTGAGGAAGCTTTTATAACCCTTAAAGTCTGTGCTTATTGTTTTAAAGTGCATTTGGAAGCTGGCATGTTTTTTTGCCAGTCTTGCTAGTTTTAAAATCAGCCAAGTTGCATTGTTCTTTCTTACAATCTCTACAGAGCTCATCAGATTATTCCTCCCGCTTCCCCCTCAAAAGCCCCTCTACCTTCTCCCTCCACCTTTCCTATCGATTCTCCTGAAGTCTGCTAAGGAATCCTGACTCGGCACTAACCTACTAAGCCAGCTCCAACATCCCCCAGGACTCATGTCAAGACATTTTTATCTGCCTTGCCTTCCCAACCAAAGCTCATCTCAACACTGGAGGGATCCAGGCTGGTCAGAGCAGTCTTACATCTAAGGCAACGGGGCCTGTTTGAACAGGATCAGCTCCAGGCTTTTGTTCAAGGGGGGGGGGGGGTGGTTAGTCAGCCCAGTGTCCTCAAGGAGCTGTTGATCTTTCTCCTTGGTGTTGTTGCTATCTGCATCACTGGGCAGAGCAGGCAGATAGGAAGCAACAGCAAAGAGGCTAAGGTGCGTTAGAGGGCAGATAACAGATAATCAGAGTTGGAAGGGACCTTGTAGGTCATCTAGTCCAACCCCCGGCCCAAACAGGGGACCCTACACCATTTCTGACAAATGGCAGTCCAATCTCTTCTTGAAAGTCTCAAGTGATGAAGCTCCCACAACTTCCGAAGGGCAACGTCTGTTCCATGGGTTGATTGTTCTCACTGTCAGAAAGTTTCTCCTTATTTCCAGGTTGAATCTCTCCTTGTTCGGTTTCCATTCATTATTCCTTGTCTGGCCTTCATGTGCTTTGGGAAATAGTTTGACCTCTTCCTCCTCTCTGGGGCAGCCCCTCAAATATTGGGACACTGCTGTCATGTCTCCCCTAGTCCTTCTCTTCGCTAGACTAGCCAGGCCCGGTTCCTGCAACTGTTCTTCATAGGTTTTAGTCTCCAGTCCCCTAATCATCCTGGTTGCTCTTCTCTGCACTTTTTCTAGAGTCTCAACATATTTTTAATAGTGTGATGACCAAAACCGGATGTAGTATTCTAGGTGTGGTCTTACTAAGGCTTTCGGAGCTTCCTAAGGACTTTCGGAGGAACAGCAAAAGAAGTGGGTGGCCAGTGGATCATCAGTGGATGAGAGGCTAGATTAGATATCCCAAAGGTGCTTTTTCAAGAGGCAACTGGACTTTCTGGTTTTTTCTTTGAAGACATTTTGCTTCTCATCCAAGAAGCTTCTTCAGCTCTGACTGGATGCTGGGGTCAAGGAGTATAAATCCTTCCATTCCCCACTACCATCCAGTCAGAGCTGAAGAAACTTCTTGGATGAGAAATGAAAGGTCTTCAAAGAAAAAGAAAAACAGGAAGTCCAGTTGCCTCTTGAAAAAGCACCTTTGGGACAGCCATGACCTGGATGACTGAGAATCTCCATAGACAGCTAGATTAGATAGGTTATGGAATCTCTTGCAGGAGAACATGCCTTCGTTAAACAACGACAAACATTGGAGCAACCGTAGAACAACAACAGGTGGTCTCTATAAGAGCAGAGATAGACACCATAGGTTGGGAGTGGCATTGCTAGTAATGGAATTCAGAAATGGAAGAGGAGGAGGAAAGGGAGGAGGGGGAAGGAGGAGGAGGAGGAGGAGGAGGAGAAATTAAAAGGGGAGCCAGAAGAAAACCAAGGCGAAGCTATAACTAAAGGTACTCCCCTGCTGCTACTGTTCTCCATTCCCCAAGCCCTCAAAAGTACTTTGCAGATCATGTGCAATCATCTTCAAACTTGCCATCAAAGAGCACATTTTGTTCTGCAGTAACAAAACTCCCCTCATCTCCACCACATAAAAAGGGGAAGAGATCGATCCATGCCCTTTGTAGTGTGCGTTATTTGGTCCTGCACACACACACAGACACACACACACATCATTTCCAGAGGAAGCACCGCAGACCCATCAAAGCCACCCCATCAAAGCCACCCCTCTCCTTAACAGACCTAAAACAAGATGAAGTAGAAGAGACCTGAGATGAAATGGAGTAGGAGGGCCTTTAAAGGAGATCTTATCTCTCTCAAAGTTGCCCCCTCACTCCCCGCCACCTTTAATGTAGCAGAAGGGGGGGGAAACGATCCAATGCACATGGTGTAACCTTCTTAACTGTAATTAATTAATTCAGTTTTAATTGCATGTAGATTTCCATTAAATCACATTTTGCTTTTGTCTTGGCTCCATCCACTTGAAGGAGCTGGGACCTAGGCGCACTATTCAAAACACCCCGGACGGGGGTGGAAAAAAAATAACACAAATCTGCCAGAATTGTAGTTTAACTGGGTTTTCCAAGAAGTGGAATTGGCAAAACATGAATCCTTTAGGAGGCCCTCCATGGAGAGCAACTGCTGAAGGGGGGCAAAAAAAAAAACTGATCAGAAAAGACGGGTAATCCCAAGACTCATTGCAACATCTCTGCTTCATCGCCAAATGAGAGAGATCATGTTTTACACAGTAAGATCTCCAGTGTTTCTCTCTCTCTTTTCTTTTTCTGTTTTAAAGGGATTTCTCAAGCACCAAGGTTGGAAAAAGTCTGCCTGATATTCCAGCAACCTGTTGTCAATCAAGGAGAGTCGGAACACTCCAAGGGTTCCCACTTACACACTCTCTTGCCTCGAAGCACAACAAAGCACCTTGTTTCATGTACGTACCGATGTTCAAAATGCTGCAAACAAGTTTTCCAAACACACAATTTTTTTTTCTTTTTTTCTTCTTCAAAGGAAGGCTACTCAAGTGACAAATCAAAAATTAAAGGATGCCAATCCGGCTTGTCCAAACTGATATTAACTTGCCACGCAAAGTGATGTGAACATTCAAAGCAAGGATTGTTGACAAGCAGATTTGCAGTTTCTCTGGGCCTTTTGCAGCAGATCTCATTCATCAGGGCTAGAAACTTAATTCTTTTGTTTATTTTCATCTCTCGTATCAGAATAACGTTAATGAGCTGCATGAAGAAACAAAGCAACCATTATCCTCCATAGCTGAAGAAACAATTTCCATCAAAATGTTAGATGCTCTGAGTAATGCAGGTCTTCTTAGTTTATTTTCATTAAAAATGTAATAAAATAATTATGGGTCAAACTTATCAATGGCAGGATGCAGAGATAATTAAAAATGTAAATGGGACTGGCCTTTCTTTTCATCTCTACCAGCTTTCTCTGGCCTTGCGCCCTTAACATATAGGACAATCCCATATTGGATGAGGATTATAGGGCACAGAGAGGCAAGTAGGGAAGGCGCACATATACTGCTTATCAAAGTTATAATGCGAACTAGAAAACACTGCAGGTTCCTAGCTAGTTAACCTGAGAGTTTTATCCCATCCTGAAATCGTGAAATCTCCAAAGCCAACTGCAGCCTTCTAGGGTTCACTAAAAGCATTCAAACATGCTCAATCATAGTTATTTCTATGGTTTGGGCTAGTGCATTGTGGGAACCCAAACTGTGTGGTCTGTTAGTTATGGACTACGGTGGACATAACCAGCCAATCAGGGGCATCCATGAATAAGGCTGTATATGGAATGTTGCAATGTGGGCCCCTCCCCTTTTGTAGGAGGTGCGTATTTAAAAAGGGGAGGAGTCTGCGCCACCACATTCTATCTGCCATTTTTTTTAATGCCCCTTCTGGCTAATGCCCCAGGTACATTGATTGGGTTCACATGTTGTCCAATGTCCCCAATTTATACTCCATGAGGAACAAATCCTGGTGGTAAGATCTCACAACAGATTAAACCCAAAACATTGTGGCATAGTCATAGCTAAGCAAAGCATAGTTTAACATTATTATTAAGATATTTTTTTTACCACCACCAGCCTATCACACACCTCTTCATCTCTATGTCTTTGGTTAAATCAAGGCAATGAATATACTTAATACTCCTGTCTCTCTTTTTCCCCACAATAACAATGTTGTGAGTTTGGCTGGGCTGAGAAAGAAGGATTGGCCAAGGGATCCTTGGCCAAGGAAGGCCTACGACTCTCCATCTCTTGGTTTCTAAGCCAACATCTTCACCACCGCACCAAACTGGCTGTCTAACGTACGAATCCCAGATCCAGCAACAGATCCTACATGTTTGGGAGAAGGAGCAATTAAGATCCAGTTAGGCTGCCCGATGATAAGATTGAAAAGAGAATACAGGGTCCACCCACAAAGTGTCTTTAACTGAATCAGGCATAAACCTAGTGACTACAGGTAGTCCTCAACTTACAACAGTTCAATTTATTGACCGCCCAAGGTTACAACGGCACTGAAAAAAGTGATTTATGGCCATTTTTCACAGTTACCATCTTTGTAGCGTCCCATGATCATGTCATCAAAATTCAGATGCTTGGCAACAGGTTCGTACTTATGACCATTGCTGTGTCCCAAGCTCACGGGATCACCTTTTGCAACCTTTTGACAAGCAGAGTCAACAGGAAGCCAGATCCATAAAACAACCTGGGGAATTCTGGGAATTGGAGCCCAAGCATTTTCAAGGGACAAGGCTGAAAAACGCCAACCTAGAAGATTCTCTTCAGCCTAACAAACCCGTGAAAAATAAACAAACAAACAAGCAAACCTTGAACTCCATTAACTGAAAGGCAAAAGAAGCTACGCAGGCCTTGTGAATGCAGTCGTTTCAGTGGATAAAAGCTGTGTAGCCAGGTTGTGCCATATACGGTCATGAACTAATCAGAAAGGTTAATTTCATGCACACACTGCAGCCAGTGGTGGGATTCAGCCGGTTCACACCAGATCAGGTGCAGAGGTGGGTATTCAGCAGGTTCTGACCAGTTCTGGAGAACCGGTAGTGGAAATTTTGAGTAGTTTGGAGAACCGGCAAATGCCACTTCTGATCACCCCCGCCCCCATGTATTCTCTGCCTCCCGAGTCCCAGCTGATCGATTGGGTCTTCTTTTGTTGCCCTGCACAGGAGAACGGAGCTGGAAAGCAGGTTAGTGAGGTGGGGTGGGAATGGGGATTTTGTAGTATCCTTCCCCTGCCACGCCCACCAAGCCACGCCCATAGAACTGGAAGTAAAAAAAAAAAAATTGAATCCCACCACTGGTCAGGTGAAACGGTTGTTAAATTACCTCTCCCGCTATCAAAGTGGATCCTGGGTGCGGCGCTGCTCTGCAATGGAGAAATGGGCAACAGAGTGGCCGGCGCGAGGGAAGGAGAATGATGCTTTCCCTCTTTCTTCTCCCTGCTTCTCCTCCTCCCCTCATGCTGGCCGTTCCGTTTCTTGTTTCTCCATGGCAGTGCAACACCCAGGATCCACTTTGATAATGTGTGTGTGTGTAGGGGGGGGAGTAATTTAACAACTGGGTCAAGTTGGCCATCATCTGAGGCTCGTCCCTTATGTGTGGTAGAGATGGGGGTTGGGGATGAGCCACGCCTCCCACGATGACCAATCTGACCCTCAGCAAACCGGTTGTTAAATTATTTGAATCCCACCACTGACCACAGCCATCAAAAAAATGAAACAGGGTTAACTCTAACTGAACCTACTATGTTATATGAATACTGCCGCAAAATCTGCAATAGCCCTTGTTAAATATTTGTGGAAATCTAGCCAAGAGCCCCATTTTTAATGATAGGCTATGTCATGAATCTCGGTTTTGATACGCCCTCAGCCTGAATTCTCTCCATTTTGGTTCACACCTCTGTTTCATTCCTTTTTTCCCCTCTCTCTTCAAAGCCACAGCCCATGCTGTTCATCTAGGAACAAATGACAAGAAACAATTGCAGCTAAAGGTCTCACCATGACTTACAAAGGCTGCACTTACATAACACGCTAAACTAACATTGGTTTAACTGGGGTTAGTTTTTAGGGACTTAATGGGTTGTGTGAACCAGTGGTGGGATTCAAAAACTTTTACTACTGGTTCTGTGGGTGTGGCCTGGTGGGGATGGCAGGGGAAGGTTACTGCAAAGTCTCCATTCCCTCCCCACTCCTAGGGGAAGGTTGCTGCAAGAGCCCCATTCCCTCCCCACCCCGCTAACCTGCTTTCCAGCTCCGTTCTCCTGTGCAGGGCAACAAAAGAAAACCCAGCCAATCAGCTGGGACTCGGGAGGCAGAGAATAGATGGGGCAGGGCCAGTCAGAGGCGGTATTTGCTGGTTCTCTGAACTACTCAAAATTTCCGCTACCGGTTCTGCAGAACTGGTCAGAACCTGCTGAATACCACTTCTGGGGTGAACCCAGAAGAATTAGTTTATGGTTCAAGGTAAGTATTGTGAAAACTCTTAAGATGGTTTGATTTGAATGCAAATTAAGTCAGTGTGCTTCAGATGTAGACAACATGGTGAATGAAGCCACAATATGGCTGGCCGTATCATGAAGAAGAATCAGTTGGCGATTTCAGTCCATACAATTACATGGATGAGTTCTCTGTGGTAGAATTATTTCATACAACGGCATGGGGAAATTATGGTGTTTCCAGAATAGGGTCTTAATAGCAACATCACATCATGTGCCATTATTTGCAGAAGCTTTTCCTAACCAGAAAAAACTTTGGGCACCCTGGGAAATATAAAGAGGGGAGAAAATAATCCTGCAGAACATTAAAACCCAAAGCCACATTTTGCAGTAGGGAATCGACCAGAGGCTGTCTGCTAAAAAAAAAAAAAAAAAAATTCAAGCCCCTTTTGAATAAGGAATTTGCATATCAAATAACATGGCCACTCCGAGCAGCATTAATTTTAACTTCTGCTCCTGGATCCCAAGAGTGGGGAGCATGCGTCATTTGCCAGGGCCTCAAGACCGGTTC